ACTAAGTTACGACACAGGCCTGGAGACTTAATAAACCTGTAAAACTCGATGTAAAACTCTAAAGGGGTGCTGCTAGCCTTGCCAGCTGTTAAGCAAATTGCTCTGGTGCTGCTTAAGGACAGGTATTGAGACAAAAGTATTTGCTAGATCAATAGCTGCAAACCATGGACCAGGCTCAAGTAAGGACACATCTGGTACAAAAGGTGCAATATCAGTTATTACTTGATTAAGTTTTTGATAGTCAACTTTAAGTTCATTTCGATCCGCCTGTGTTCTGCACAACCATTCGGCAGAGTGAGGGGAGACCGGTGGGAATCACCACCCCTGCATCTCTCAAGCCCTTGATTGTTTTCTGTAACTCCTCTTGGGCTGCAATACTGTCTTTGGTTCACTATTTTCCCTGGTAGAGGCAACTCCAACAACTTATACTTGGCTTTTCCAATCATGACAGGCCTCACCCCAGAAGTCAGGGTATCTATGTAGGAATTTTGCCAACTTCTAAGTATATCTATCCTAATTACACATTCTGGGATGGGAAAAATAGAGGAGAGTTTGGGGGCCCTCTGTGAGTTGGACTTCAGCAAAAACTCTGTTAATTACCTGATTCCATAGCCCCTACTTTAACTGGAGGGTCATAGCGCTTTCTGGGGTCTCCTACAATCACTGCCAATTTACCACAGGTATCCAATACACCCTGGAAAGTCTGTTCCCTTTCCCCCATTGCACGATTACCCTTGTAAAAAGCTATAAGCCCTTATGGGAAAGGATGAGAGAAATGCTAACAGTAAAACTCTTAGGAATTTTGACAAGGTCCTTCCTTAGGGGTACTGGCCATCCTTTCATTCAAGTTATTCTGCAAACTGCCTCATATATGGAAATCAGTTCATGGGTCGAGATTCCCTCTTGCCAGAATCCAGTGAAGCTTATCTTTCATTTAAAAATTCTGCCAATATAAATCAAACAAAAACCAGTGAAACGTCCCACGCCTGTAATCCCAGCACTTGGAGAGGCACAGGCAGGCAGATCACTGTAAATTCAAGGCCAGCCTGGTCTACAAAGCAAGGTCAGGACAGTCAAGGCTACACAGGGAAACCCTGTCTCGAAAAGAACAAAAGGCAGTAGACTTCTTATCTATTTTACTCCCCAAGACTCTGATTAGCCAGTACAAAAGGCCCGCAGGAATCGTATCACGACAAAATTCACTTTGCAGGTGATGTCCACTACAGGCCAGCCATTATGGATACTGTTTTGCTTATGATGCTCACTATAATTCAGTGCTGCCACATGGCCTCTGCTACTCCTGGGCCCAGGTAAACTAGTCACATTTAACTCATCTAACTGAGCAGCAATGTCTCAAACTATCAGGTCTACTACAAGGAAAGAGCAACAATAAAGTTCTTATGAGCTGATGCCCCCTCACCATTTTGCATCTTACATGATTAGTGGAGGTGGTGTCTTCTGGGCCTTCCTATTTGTGGAGGATTAGGTTTTACACAGTTTACCCACTCTAGATTCACCAACATTAAGCCAAGGGTTATGAGGCTCTCCAACTTTTTTTCAGTACGCCATCTTTTGACAAATGCTTCAGCCAACCAATCAAACTTTTAACACCTTTTTAAAACTGTATGAGCTTCTGTATTAAACCTAGAATCTCCACTCAGTTGGCCCGTATCAATAAACTCATTCTGATATAGTTTTATGTTCTTTCCACCATTTTCCCTTACCCTTAAAATCCATTCTCGCACATATTCCCCAAACTTCTGCTTGAATGAATTAGCAAAGTCATTAAGCTCTTTAGTGGTATGGTGCGCCTCTTCATGCACTACACTTTCTATCCCCACTTTAGGAGCCTGCCTTAGGTCTGGATATAGATCTGGAGGCAACTACCAATGGGCCTGAGGGACATTAGTATCTAGCCTGGCATCTCCTCAAGAAAGTCACTGCTGTTCAGCAGACACTAAAGGATTAATTCCTTTAGGCAACTGCAAAGAGGGCACTACTACAGGGGATGCCGGGTATGGATGTGTTTCTGCTCTTAACCACTGAGCCAGCTCTTCAGTCCCAGATGTATTCTCTGTTAAGGGTGGAGAGATAAACCCTTGAGAATCTGAGGTTTCAAAATCCTCAGCCTCAGTAGAGTCCTCTCACACATCTCCATGACAAGTACTGTTACAGGATATTTGATCCCATTGTGAACCCCAAAATTATGAACTGTAAAACCCTGTTTCTTGTTTGGTGTGGTTGAGCCCTATCACACACCTTTAATCCAAGAAGTTTGTTTATCTGGTGATTATGGTGTGGTTCAGCCCTAGCACACACCTTTAATCTAAGAGCTTTCTGTACACAGGATTTAATAAAGTTAACCCTAGGTCAAGAGGTGGAACAAGAAACTAGCTAGCAGGGATTAAAAAGTAGAAGGGACTTTGAGTTGAGTGTTATTTAAGACAAAATGGAGAAGTAAAAAAGGCCTTTCAGCTTAAGCTCTGGCTTTAGCGTAGGCTTCACCTGTCCAGCTCCCTGGCTATTTTGGGGGACGCTTTGAGCTAGCAAGCCTTTTGCCTTTTCTTCCTGGGATGTCAGTTTGGGCTAGTAAGTCTTTTGGGTTTTTTCCACCCGGACCTGAGCTGAGAAGGTCAGCTGGATTCTTTCTCTCCCTCGCTGAGCTAGCAAGTTTTCACCCCAGCATCTGGCTCCCGAGCCTTTATTGGTAAAATAGAATGGCTGGGATTTTCATTTTTTGTTTATAACAACAAAGTGCAGGATGCAGTTCCTTACTTTAACTGCTGACCTCCCACCCCCACAAAGGCAGAACTTGAATTTGTGCTGTAATCCAGCCACTCTGATACTGAGGGCTTTGGCTTCATTTTCCACAACTTGAGCTCTATGGCTGCTGAAGAGAGGACCCTCTTCCAGCCACACTAAGACTATTATGTGCCTCTGGAGCCAGTCAATTATATCATACTTTTCCTTTGTCACTGTCCCCAGAGATGCTAGAAGCAACCAGCCAACATTGTTGTTCTTATTTTCCCACCAACTGCTAAGAGTTTTACGTACAGAGTCACTAAACCCTTGCTCCTCACAATAGGTGAATCAAGATCATCAAATGTATTTATTTCGACAGTTCACACCCTGAGTTTTTAGGGCTCTCCATGCTTCTAGGAGAGGCTTCAGTAACTGTAGGTGTCAGTAAGTTGGAAAGCCTACGTCAAGAGTCGGGCAGGAGTTCAATCTACAGGGCTGGATGTTTCGGCTCATCTTTGGTACATGTTGAAATTCTGAAGAAGTAGGTTCGAATACCAGTGATATTTCAATCATGGAAAACACAGGCTTTCAGTATCTCCCTATTACCCATTGCTGGGTTGTAAGCATTGAAGTTAGTATTACTTTCCTGTAGTAAAGTGTTAGAATATTATGTTACACTTTATGTAATTGTTTATTTATATGTACATGTACGTGCCAAGGCATCAGTGTAGAGGCTAGAGGTCAGTTCTTGCTTTCTACCATGTGGGTTGTGGGGATTAAACCCTGGTCGTAAGGCTTGATGGCAGGGCTCTTCCACCATCTTGCTGGCCCAGTGTATTCGGTTTTAAAAACTGCTGCTGAAGTTTCTGTCTTGAGTTTCATAAAAAATTGTGGTGTTGGAGAGGTGGCTCAGTAGTTAATAGCATTTGCTCTTCTTGCAGGGGCCCCAGGGCCTGGGTTCCAGCACCTGGAACTGCTCATCCGGTTCCAGGGAATTCAATGCTGTTTTCTGGCTTCATCTGGCACCAAGTTGCAGGTGGTGCAAGTACATACATGCATGCAAAATATTCATACACATAATATCAAATAAACCTTTGGTAAAACGTTCAATTTTTGTTCAGGACAGAATTCTCAAATTTCTGAAATAGCCCTAAAAATAATTTTACTAATATACCATGTACTTTTACTATATACCATGTACTTGTGCATAGTGATAGTGGTGTCAAAGTGCTAACAATCATAAAATCAAAATACAGAGCCACTCTGCAAAATGCTGGAGATGCCCCACATCTGTCAGCACTCAAATATCCAGCCACGAATGAACTATCTGTGTGGAAACAAACAAGTGCATCTATTTCCTTAGTATGCAAACTTGCTTCTCTCTTTAAGAAATGGTAAAATTGTATGTATAAAAAGAACTGTTTTTTAAACAAGTTTCCTCATGACTCATTATCAGTAAATGTTTGTTTGACATGTATGTATCCCCTAGTTTATATGCCCATACACCTGCAGCGGTGTAAAATTTTCTTATGTAAAAGGGGTCACATGTGGAAACCTTTTTAAGAAGCCATGCTGTAGGCTTGGTGGGAGTGTAAGGTGGGAGGATCACATGGGAGCTTGTCTTAAGAAGGACACAAGGGGTTGGGAAGGAGATAAGAGGGAAAGCTCAACAATGAGGAACACCAACATCGAAGAAAGGAAATAACACAAACTTAACGTGCCAATGGCGTGTCAAGCAAAAATAAAATAATCAAGTCTGAAACCAAGGTGGATGGCACTTGAGGAATCACACAAGTGAGAGAGCGAGAGAGACAGAGCGAGGGAGGAGACAGACGGACTTGTCTCCCTACGAAGTAAACCTCTCCCCCAATTTCCTGTCCTCAACGTGCTCTACCCTGGTCCTGACTTTCCTCCTGGTTTACTGTGTGGACCAGAGGCGGCCACTTTCCCTCCTCCTACCAAAACTCTACACCCCAAGCGCCGGAGGTCACTGGGCTGCGCCCTCAGGCCCGGCTGCGGGGTCCGCCGCCTTCCCGCGTGTCTTCTGCAGTTTCCAGCCGGAGCTTCCCGCCGGGGCCGTCGGTGGTAGAAGTCGGCGCCCAGGAGCCGCGGGGCCGAGAAGCCGGCCTCGGGGCGCCGCGGCCGCCTGCGCCACTGTCGCCGCGGCCTCCCCCCCCCCCCGCGTCCTTCCGGCCGGGATCGCCGACGGCCCGCGCCGCCCCCAGCCCGGCCCCGTGTCCCCGGCCGCGCCGACTCACAAGGACTCCAGATGCTTGAGCTGCTGCAGCTGCTGCGCGTCGTGCCGCCGCCGTTTCTGCTCCCGCCGCCGCTGCAGCTCGTGCTCCGGCGGCTCCCGCTGCCGCCGAGACCCGGCCCCGGACGACATCGCCACCAGAGGCGGGCTTGGGACGAGGCGGACACTCGCCCCCTCCGCCCCGCGGCACAAGCCCACCAACGTCCCACCGGCCCGAGCTCCAGCCGGGTACCCGCGGCCAGGCCCCGGCGGCCCCCGAGGCCTGCGGGAGCCCAAGCGGGGGAGGGCCGGGGCGGGGAGGGCGGGGCCTGCGGGAAGCGAGGCCGGGAGGGGAGGGGCGCGGAGGGCGGGGCCTGCGGGCTTCCGGGTGCTGCAAGTCACCTGAAGGCCACACCCACTTCTGGGGCTCCTTGGCTCGCTTGCTCTTTGATTTATTCATTTATTTTATTATTTTATTTTATATTTTATTTTTTGGTTTTTCGAGACACGGTTTCTCTGTGGAGCCTTGGCTGTCCTAAATATTGTTAAGGTTGTAAGTATTTGTGGCTGGGCGAGGTAGCAAAAGTCTTTAGTCTCAGCACCCAGGAGGCAGAAGCAGGAGGACCTGTGAGGATGAGGCCAGCCAGGGCCACACAGGAAGACCCTCTCTCAAAGGAAAAAGAGAAAATATTTTTAATTCCATGTATATATTTGGGCTGGTGGTGCCTGGGTGAGGTACAGTGGTTGTACAGAGTCCATAAGCGGACGACGGCTTTCTAGAACTGGAACCGCAGGCCATCCACCCTTTGTGGATGCTGAGAACCGAACTCTGGTCCTCTGCAAGAGAAGTGTGCGCTCCTGTAAAAGCCTTTCTGCTGCTCTTGGGATCCTTGCCCTGTACTTGGTGCCTGTGGATTTCGGGGACGAAAACAACTTTCCCTGTAAAAGCTCCAGTCTTCCAGCATAAGAGATAAGGTGTGAAAACACAGACCAATACATACACATAGTTTTTACCAAGACTTTTCGTGCCGTAAGTAAAAAATAAAAGCAGACACACAGTACGTCCTGCTGAGGAGCCTCCTCTGAGCCTTCTATGGTCCTGTAACTAGAGTCTCAGGCCAGAAGCCCCACTCTGAGCGTTCCAAGTTAGATCTTTACACTTAGCCAAAGAGAGGAAGAGGAATAAGAGCGAAAAAGCAAGAAAGACACTGGCCTGGCATTTTGGTGCTCAGCAGAGGCAGACAGAGCTCTATGAGTTCAGCCTGTGTGCGCTGCTAATCCTAAGCCAGCCAGCAGCGTTACATAGTGAGATCCTGTCTCCAAAGTAGGGGAGTTGGAAATGAAAGGATTTTAATCATTATGGGCACCCTGAGAAAACAGAGAACAAGCTCTGCAGCCCATTTCCAGGCTACTGACATAAACTTTAGGTGTACCGAGAGCAAGGATCGGGGCAGAGGTCAGTTACCAGTAATTAAGTCTTGGTCAAACCATGTTGGGGTTGGTTATTAAATCCTTGTCATGCAAGGTAGTCACATAGACCTCCTTATTACTTGAGTGGTCATTCTGCTTCCCAAGAGATGACTGTTCCACTGCCATGGTGTGGGGAATGGGGGACAGCTTCTTGGGGTGATCCCATTTGTTCCTGGCTCTAAAGCTGACGATTGGAGACTTTCAGGTGCCTTTTCCAGGTCTGGAATAGAACACTGTAAAATCTGACTGTCAACTGCCGTAGTTACTGTTTACAAATTCAGGGATAATCAACCCAGTGGGTGGGCCCTCCAACATCAACCATTCATAAAAAAAAAAAAAAAATTGCTTTATAGGCTTGCTTACAGGCCATCTGAGAAGTGTTTTCTTAACTGAGGTTCCTCTTTCCAGATAGCTTTAACTTGTGTCATGACAAAAACAAACAAGACCCACTTCCCCCCCAAAAACCTCACACAAGCAACAAAATTTTACTCTCATTTTAGTTGCCCTGCCATAGACGTTTCAAGGTGCATGCTATAGTGTGCACAAGAACACCGGGGCAGGCAGCGCGGCGGAGAGGTGCCGCCTGACCTTACAGCATCCCAACTACTTCAGATCTGTGGGAGGAACCGAGGCTTTGCCGCGGTGTTCTCTTCTTTTCGTGAGCGACGTGAAGGAGAGGCAAGAGGCACATTTTGATGAGGAAGCTGTCACTGTGTAGGACTCCCCTGTGTTTGTTAAGTAAGAATAGTTTCATGACATGCTCAAGGATGCAGAAATAGTAACTCGTAGACCTGGGATTCAGAGATGTCAGTTGAGATGTGCGGCTGAATTCTGAAACTATATCTGCTGTAACTGCTTTAGCCTTCAATGATGAAAAGCCGTCGTGGTGAAAGTGAAAAACCGCATTAGGAACAATCTTGGCTGGAATGCAAAATTGATTGCGGCCAATGCCTGTGTATGGGCAGTATACACGCTAGGAGATACAGAGAGGTTAACATGGCCCCTGCACAAACATAAGATGCAAATTAATGAAGTGTTTTATACATTTTTAAAAGGTAGTTTTCAATTTTACTCATTTTATGTGTATGAGTGTTTTGTCTACATGTATGTACAACTGGGTACCTGATGCCCGTGGATGTCAGAAGAGGGTATGGGATCTCTTCGAGCTGGAGTTCTGGATAGTTCTGAGCCACCCTTTGGGAGCAGGGATGAGAACCTCTGGAAGAGGGACAAGTTTCTCTAAGCCTTGGAGCCTGTCTAGCCCCCAGTGGTTTATGCTTTTCAGCTAAAAAATAAACTTTAAAGCCAGGTGTGGTGGCGGATGCCTTTAATCCCAGCACTTGGGAGGTAGAGGCAGTTGGATCTCTGTGCATTCACGGACAGCCTAGTCTACAAAGTTTATTCCAGGATAATAATAAAATAATAGTAAAAGTTTATTCCAGGATAATAACAGCCAGGGCTGTTACACAGAGAAACCTTGTTTTGAAACAAAACAAAAGAAAACAGAATAATAAATAAACTTTAGTTGGGCATAGTAGTACATGCTTGTAGCCCCAGCGCCCAGTAGTTGGACGTTAGATTGTGAGTTCAGTAGATTGTATTAACATGGATTATGAGCAGATTGCAGGGCTAATGATAGAGAGATGTCACTATAAATCAAAAGACAGTTAGGAGTCATGTTGGTCAGCCATACTGATCCCAGCTGGTTTTAGACACAAGAGAGCTCTGAGATGGCATCGCCTGTAGCCGCCTTGCCCTTTTCGTGTTTTAAAAAAGATTTCATTTATTTATTTTATGTATATGAATGCTCTGTCTTCATGTACACCTGCATGACAGGGGAAAGCATTAGATCCCGTTTAGATGACTGTGAGCCACCATGTGGTTGATGGGAATTAAACTCTGGCCTCTGGAAGAGGAGCCAGTGTTCTTCACTGCTGAGCCATCTCTCCAAGCACCCAGTTTTCACATTTTTAATACAACTACCTAACCTACCTCTATGATTCAGAGGAAAGAAAAATGTAGTTTTTTTCCAGAAATTACAGGAAAATGGGGAAGTGTTAAGGATCTGTTATTGATGAGGAACACGGGACAATGGTTTATAAATAAGTCTGAAAAAAGAGGGAAGGAGAAACAGAATGTTTCCACACTGTCCATGGTTGCTCAGGCCTGGGAAGGGTTTCTCAGGATTTGGAGAAAGGATTAAACTTTAATGGTTTTTCTTGCAGATGAAAGGCAGATTTGTTTGTTTTTTTTTCTTTATTTATTTACTTATTTATTTTAAAGTATCAGTGTGTGTGGTGCACCTCTGTGTAGGGGTGCCTGAGAGTCCAGAAGAGGCATCCGGTCCCCTGGAGTTGGAGCTACAGTGTACGCTGCCCAGTGTGGGTGCTGAGAATTGAAGTTAGGCCCTTTGTGATAGAATACATGCTTTTATCCACTGATAAAAGCTGTCTCTCTAGTATTCATGTATGTATATATATAATTATATATATATAATACATATATGTATTATATATGTGTGTGTATATATATATATATAATTTTTTTGAGATAGCCCAGGCTGGCCTCTTACTGTGTAGGCAAGGATGACTTTGAACTTCTGATCCTCCTGTTTTCTGTTTCCCATGTTCTGATATTGTAGGCATATGTCATCGTGTCTGGTGTATGCAGTGCTGGGGATTGAACCCAGGGCCTCGTGCATGCTGTATGAATCTTCTACCGATTGAGCTGTATCTCCAGCTGTTTTCAGACCAGCTAAGTAGATTGTCATCCAGCAAAATTTGAGGGGGGGGGTATTTCATACTTGGTCCTGACAATGAGGAAAATATATTTTGTGTAGAACTGAACATCAGAGCTGTGGGAGTGTATGTTTCCTATTATAAATTAAAAGTTGGCATTGTCGTTTATAGCGTAGTTCACTGCAGTTATTATGGAAGACACATCGTTGAGCATGCTGCAATATTACCTGCCGTCCCTCTTTCTAAATGTTACCTTGTTAAGTCAGGCTGGTGTATAGCCTGGATGCATCAAAAGATCCTACCTCAAAACAGCAACAAGATGGGTGAACCCAAATTGCCCAGATGTGAATGCTTCACTTATCAGCTGATGAAGAGATAGTCTAGGAAGTTTTTGCAGAGGAGGGGACACATTGACAGAGGAGTGAAGGATGTGTAGGGATGATTGACACAGAGACTATGGGAAAGCCTCTCAAGGGCTGGAATGCCACTTTGAGAAGAGCACGAGAAACAACAAGAGCCAGTGTGGGCTCCGAGTCTTAAGAGGAGGCTGGAGGGTAGACAGGATGAGGTTGTCCAGGGTCTGGCAGACCTTGTAGGGATCTGAAACGCAAAAGTAAGTAAACCGCAGAGGAAGCAAGGTGCAGTAGGGGAGGTGTGGCCAGGCCTGAGGGATTTGCTTGTTTGTTTGTTTTTTCATTAATTTATTTAATATTTTTACATTCTGATCACAGCCCCCTCCCCTCCTCTCCTTCCAGTCCCACCTTCCCACCCCCTCCCGCATCCTTCCTCCCCTTGGGTACCAACCCACTCTGGCACATCAAGTCGCAGCGGGACTAAGTGCATCCTCTCCTACTGAGGCCAGACCCGGCAGTCTAGCTACGTAAAAGGGATCCAAAGGCAGGAAACAGAGTCAGAGACAAGCCCCCTCTAATTGTTAGGTGACCCGCTGAATAACACGCTGCACATCAGCTACTTATGTGTAGGGGTCCTAGGTCCAGCCCATGCATGCTGTTTGGTTGGTGGTTCCGTCTCTGAGTTTTAACAGGGCTGAGTTTTAACAGAGCTCTCTGCTAACTGCTGGTTAGCACAGTGTAGATGCCATGGGTTCTGTA